AAAAACAAATAGGTCTGATTAGTTATTGTTGGTTATTTTTTTTATCCGATTAAGCACCCAAAAGTTACAGTGTTTGAAGGCCTTTATTCTTGGGTCCCTCTCCCACCTGAACCCTGGGTTTACCTTTCTCATCAGCTGCTTGTGTAAACCTGATATAAAACTTGTGTTGTTAAAAATACCCCAAACTAATGTGTCACAATAAAAATATGTTTGGTATCTTTATGCAAAATGAAGAATTGTTTTTGTCGCCAGCACTCTTCCACAAAGCACACCTGAGAGCATTTTTTTAGTAAAGAAGGCAAAAGCTCGGGCGGTTGAAAGGAGACGGCGCTCGCGCCTGACGATGTCTCTAAAAATAAAAGTGGGGACAAAAGTGATGACGTGTGCCTGAAGAAGGAAGAGGAGTGCAGGCACAAAATAGAAGATGCAGGAGAGCTCGACATTACTCATGAGCAACAAATTAAGAGAGCGCTCGCTTCCCCTCCAGGTGCTGCTTATTTTGGACCTGACATTGACGTACTGCGCCGCGCGGCTGAAGTTAAGACTTATTCACTTAGGGACACCCGGGGGGAGTTTGATTGTGTGCACTGGGTCCATGACGTCAGACTTCACAGTGTGAAGCCAGTCAGACAAACAAGCTCATTAAAGACGTCACCATCGCTCTGCCACTTCGTGATTGACATTTGTCACTATTTTGTGACATGCAGGGAGATAATCAGCCCCACTTATCCGGCCTCACACTCACAGTTTGGACAGGAGGGAGCGCTTGGTGGCTCTGCACCCGATGCACTCCAGCTGAGAGGGCAGTAAATAGTTTAGCAGGGGGGAGATGAGGTCTATTTTTATCCCCGGCAGACGGAGGAGACGCACTAGCAGGCTGACGCACAGGTTGAGGCATCAGAGAACAGACAGCCAAACAGGCTCAGAGACGGACAGCGAGAGAGACGGAGACGCGGCCAATCAGGAGGACGGGCGGGCAGGTGGGACGTAGATGCAAACAGACAGCTTGGCCCAGAGACGTCCAGGGTGAAAAACAAGGCTGTGGCTTCAAACCTCTGAGCTGCTGTTTCACCCCATGAGAAAAAAATCAAAACTCACTGCACATTTTGACTCTGCTCGCCCTTTTCTCTTATTTTCTTGGAAAATATTTCAAATACATATTTTAAGAGCCAAAAAAACATATTTACAGTAAACTTTAGCATTGTGGTGTTGTGGGTTGTGCTGGTCTGACTCAGTAGTTGTCCCTTGCAGCTGTTAAACCTCCATAGAGGAGAAGTGAGTGAAGTTTTCTGCTCTGGTTGCTCTTCAGCCGGGTGAGAGAGAATTTTTATTTCTGGTTTCAAAAATGAGTGTATCTGATTGGTGCCTTGACTTCCTTCAGCTTCCCATCAGCTGCTGAAATTGAATGTTTGAGTTATTGGTTTAATGGTCGGCCCTGTCGACGTCCTGAACATGTAATGTGGTCGTTTGGTCCTAAATATCTCGTCCTCTGAGGAAAGTGTGAAGAGGCTGTAAGTCTCTGCAGTGTGTGTGTGTGTGTGTGTGTGTGTGTGTGTGTGTGTGTGTGTGTGTGTGTGTGTGTGTGTGTGTGTGTGTGTGTGTGTGTGTGTGTGTGTGTGTGTTGTGTGTGTGTGTGTGTGTGTGTGTGTGTGTGTGTGTGTGTGTGTGTGTCATAGGTGCACACAAATATCATGCACTTAGACACCTGCAAATATCCGACAGCAACACACTGAGGTCCGCGGAGACCGAGTGAAAAATTAGGTTGCTTGCGTTCACACACACATGCAGCTCTTCCTGCAAACATCAGGACTTTTTCAGGTTTTGCAAGTTTGAAAGCCCTACGATAAAGATATAGCCCGCTATCAGATTTTTTTTTCTCCCAAATATCGATACCGGTAAAAATCCCACATCGGTCGGGCCCTAGGTTATGTATTTGCAGCGTGTTTGTTGTTGTTGCATTGTGTTCTTTTATATTTGCATAGTTTCTGAATTCGCTGAACGTTTTTTCTTATTTAAATAGTTTGGGCAGTTGCAGGTCGGTTACCCTCGTTGGCCACCGAAACAGAAACATTGGAAACAAAAAAAAGAAAATGTTAGAGCCGGTGGATTGAATGATTTTTAACGACTCTTTAGTCTGTTAACTTATTGTGTAAAATGAAAATCAAACAATGAGTAACCCTTTCTTAATAAAATCCCTGCCCCTGTTTGGATTGCCTCGTGTGCAGTTCATTGTGATAAATTAAACTGAGCAATCATCGTTTTTTGTCTTTATTAAATCGGGCTCTCGTATCCTGACAGTCGCAGTGAATGAGCTTTATTGGTTTTTGCCGGGAGCGGTTTTCTTGATGTCTTTTTATCGGCGTCTGAACAGAGCAGATACAATAACAGGAGTCAGATGGATTGTGAGAGAACAGTGGCGTCTTATCACCAACACAACATTTTTTAATTGGATTGTGAGCGCTCGGTTTCTGTTCAGCTCGTGGACCATGTGGCGCGCGCTGTGTTCACATTTACTCTGAGGATTAAAAGCAGATTAGGATCACAATCTGAATCAGTTAGCTAAACACACAACTTAGACACAAACGCTGCCGTAGCTGGCCTTGAATATTTTCTTCTTTTTTACTACTGCCGATTGACAAAAATGTTTGAATACCTTTTATTTAAAGAGGACAAATTATCCCCCTCCTCCACCTTTTCAAACAGTCCCCTCCTCCACCTTTTCAAACAGTCCCCTCCTCCACCTTTTCAAACAGTCCCCTCCTCCACCTTTTCAAACAGTCCCCCTGTGGTCTAAATGAAACATCTGTGCTGTGCTTTGGTCAAAATATAACATGAATCAAGCACCAGAGGAGGTTTGTGACCCTGTATAAACCAGCTCTCTCAGAACGCTCCGTTTTGGTGTGTGTGTCTCTTTAAATGTAATGACCCCCCCCCCCCGAGTTTTCCCATTAGAGATCACTCCTTCACTACTGAGAACAATTATGGCAGACCTGCGCAAAAGTTTTGTTCTAGGCTGGGGGTGGAGTCCATGGGTGGAGATACCAGGGGAGGGGAGGGGATTTTTTAAAACTAGAATCCCACTGTGACATCACAAGGAGAGCAAATTTGAAACAGAGCATTTTTTTCTGTGTTGTAAGACTTATGCAGACCACAAACAAAGAACTGGATGGGTGTATTTCACATTTTGTGGGTCTGTAGACACTCTGGTTACCCAAATATATGTTTGAGAACACCGAAGAAGTGGATTTTTCAGAATATGCCCCCTTTAATATTTTCTTTGACAGCTGAGACTGAAATAAAAAAAGATGCGAGTTAGGGATTACTTAAGACAGTCTCTGATTGTCCAAAATTAATCAACGCCCTGCAAACAAACTCAATCAATCTGCATGACAGTGAGAATGTTTGTTTATAGCTTCAACGCCGAAATAGACGTCGTTCGGTTTCTGTCTTGGGGAAACGACGACGGACTGATTCTCTGGTTCTGCCGTGATAGTGAAGCACACGTTCATATTGTAGCTGAGTGCAGGTTTCTGGGCTCGGACTGGCTGGGAGAGGCTGGCACACACTTTGAAATATTAATGACCTACTGTAGAGAAGGACTCAGCCTCCCCCTCGTTATCTCTCCCTGCCCTCGCTCCCCTCCCCCGTTCCTCTCTCCTTCCTCTCCCTTCTTTTATCTTCTTCTTTTCGTCCCCTCTTCTCTTAAAAATTACCTCCCTCTCTTTCCTTCCCCCGTCTCCATTTTTCCTCTCTCTCTCTCTTTCTCTCCTCTCTGTGTCTCTCAGGAGAGCTGAGAGCTTGTGTAATGTCATATTAAAGAGACAGGCGCGCAAGCAAAGTGAAAAATACAACGTAATAAGAGTCATCCGTGGAAACTTGTGGCTTCCGCATCGATTTTGGATCGTGTGAATCTAATTTTCTGTGAAAGTTTTCGTCTAAAAAGCTCTTCTTTCATCCTTTTCATGTCTTTGTCTGGGCTTCTCCTCAGACAGGTTCGATAAATCCCTCTGTGTCCTCTCTCCTTTTTCCCAGCCATTTGTCCGTTTCCATCTCCACCCTTCAGTCCTTCCTTTTGTTCTGCTCTGCCACATCAGAGGAGCTCTCGACTAAATAAAGACACATAAAGGCAGATGCTTTTCTTTTTTTATGTGCACACACTTACTCCAAATTGCTGGTGTCTGTTAAATAATAACTGTTTGTAGAAGTGGACGTGGCCATTTTGGGGTTTTTTGGTAGCCAGATATGAAGGCTTGACTTTTAATCACACGACAGTCATGTCTGCTTCTAAGTTTAACATTCTTTAAAGTCTGTTTTAGTCCAGAAGTCACCAAATCAACATGTTGATGTAAGGAAAGATATTAAGAATTAAGAGTGGACTTTTCTGAGATAATAAATTAACTGAGTAGGCGACTCATCTTAAATACTTAAATACAGACGGATAAGCAAGAGAGTCGCCCCCTGCTGGCCTCAGAAAGAATAAAAGTGTAAGGCTATTCTTCATTGGCTACATCTACTCTACTTTTAAGGCTTTTATACATGCAGAAAACGCCTCAAAAAGCAGAATGTGTTCACTCAGACTTCACCCGGAGTTTCTCCTCCAGCCTCCTCGTATTTATTCTGCAGAAAGTCAGAGTGAGCTGATGTGAGAACGCAGCAGGATATAATCAGGAGAATTCACCTGGAGCCAGTGGGAGGGGGGTGGTGACGCCCCTCATTATCTTTGAGACAAATCAGTATCAATTACCAGCGACCACTTGCTTCACAAAAAGTGTTATCAATGTATGTAGCGCTTGTTTATGTAGAATGAAAAGAAACCTCAGGTCGAGGAAACAGGTGATGATTAATCTAACCTCCTCTTCTGTGTTTCTGCTCTCTCTCTCTCTCTCTCTCTCTCTCTCTCTCTCTCTCTCTCTCTCTCTCTCTCTCTTAGACATGGCTGAAGAACTACGGCTACCTGCTGCCCACGACGTCCGCACGTCAGACCTGCGGCAGGAGAAGCCATGCAGTCCGCTGTGGCCGCCATGCAGCGCTTCTACGGCATTCCCGTGACGGGAATACTGGACGAGACTACTATAGAGTGAGTTTATGATCCTTTCAGTAGGGCTCTATGAAATCTGTTTACATTTGTTCCAGATTCAGTTTGTTTTTTTGTCACTATATTCAAATCTTTCCATTAACATTTTTGTAAATTCTGGTTTTTGGATGTAACTGGGGATGCAGCGATGCATCAGCTAAACATCTGTATCGGCCCTGTTGACAGAAATCGGCACATCGGCGAATATTGAGGCATGAACCGATGTCAGTGCCGATTTTTATCTGTTGTGACAAACTTTGACTTGTGTTCATATCAAGCATGAGAGAACATGTTGCATTATGGGAGTCATACACTTAAAGAAGTCATGAACAAACATTGGTATGGGAATTGGCAATCCCCTAAATTTTTATTTAGAACATGGCTATCGACATCATCGGGATTTTCCCAATTGATCTCTAGTTTGTAACCACTTTTCATCACCTGAACGGAGTCGACTCTTGATTCTTGTGAACGCTCCTCCTTGTTACCAATGAATCACCAGATGCAGACACAGCTTTTCCATTTGTTCCAGCAGAAAATCTGATTCCACACAAACGGCCACAAAGTGTTCAACATCCTCACATTCTGCTTCTGCCGACATGTTGGCACGAGGGAGAGTTTGCTGAAGTCATGAGCTGCCTCTCTCTCTGTTTTTGATTGTAGGTGATCATCACACAGATTTTTGCTGGTCCAGTCAATCATATACTGACTAAACCTATAAAGAAGTTGCTCTACTGATTCATAGACGTCGCTCGTGTATTGTTCTGCTCTAAACTTAGCGCTTGGTGTCAAATTTCTTAATTTTTTTGATGACTCTGGTGTCTCAGATTGCCTCTTCGTCGTTGTCTGTTTGTTTGGGAGCATCATCCCTGTCCGAGGTGAAAACGGGTCAAACACAGACAGGGATGACGGGAGCTGCAGAGTCCAACATCATCCTACCTACACGTAAAAGTGAGGTGATGGGTGTTGGACTCCCAGCAGAATGTGTGATTGTTTGATAAGCTCAAATACTCCCTTTAGGGAGGGAACAACAATCATTTCATATAAGCAAAACCAGGAACAGGCATTGGATTGCATTCTTTACAGGCTTTGCATTGTGAATACGATGAGAGTCAACATCATCTTTAACTCAGTTTGATCTGTTGGCCAGAATTGTTACAGTTTACAAGACCAGATTACATTTCACATAATTACTCTTTTATCAGTCAAAACTGACACCTTTCTATTGCAAACATTTGCATTTTTCCTCACAGTAGAAAAGAGCATCATCAGCATTGAGTTATACTTCAGGCCACCTGACAGGTGTATGCTTCTGTCTGTTCGGTCTTCATTAACTCCACAGAGTAGTGCTCCTCTGAATACAGCTCAATAGTTTCTGATTGTGATGAGGCTGTGGTGTACAAACATACTCGATATTCAATGGGGCGGCTGTGGCTCAGTTGGTAGAGTGGGTCGGCTTGGGGGTTCGATCCCCAGCTCCTGTAGCCACATGTCCGATGTGTCCTTGGGCAAGACACTTAACCCTGACTTGCTCCCGCTGCCCCGTGGTCGCTCTACACAGCGGCCTCTACCATCAGTGTGTGAATGTGTGAGTGAGTAGTCAGAAGCTGAACACAGTGAGACTAAACCAAGATATCACCGCTGCTTCCCCCGAAAATCAAAACATAATCAAACTAAGTACGACTGAAAACTCTCCTTCCAAATATAAATGTTGACATTGATATAAGGAGACAAGCTAAACAAAGGTCAGAGTCCTCTGATAAGTCAGGTTTCACACAGCACTGGGGCCTCGTAGTGACACAGTGATGATAGTGACATTTCAATGTGTCATGTTGTTTTCAGGTGGATGAGGAGACCTCGCTGTGGCGTTCCAGATCATCCTCACACCAGCCGCCGTCAGAGGAATAAACGCTATGCACTGACGGGACAGAAGTGGAGGGATAAAAAGATCTCCTACAGGTATCTATCTTTCTGTCCGTCTACTCTGCCTGGTATCTGACTGTTCTGTTGTTTTTATGATTCATCAAAAGCTTATTTTTAAGTTTATACTATCAATGTATCCATCCATCCATTCATGTATCCACTCATCCATCCATCCATCCACTCATCCATCCATCCACTCATCCATCCATCCATCCATTCATGTATCCACTCATCCATCCATCCATCCACTCATCCATCCATCCATCCATCCATCCACTCATCCATCCATCCACTCATCCATCCACTCATCCATCCATCCATCCATCCACTCATCCATCCATCCATCCATCCATCTATCATCCATTCACACATCCATCCATCCTTTTATTCAATCCATCCATCATCAACCCAACAATTCTTCCATCCATCTAACTATCGATCCTTTTAAATCCATGCATCATCAACCCTATTATTTTTCCATCTGTCCATCTATCCATTCATTTATCCAACCTTTTAATCCATCCATCATCAACCCACCTATCTTTCCATCCATCCATCCATCCATCCATCCATCCATCGTTGTTCTGTCATTAGCTTCAGATGTCATCAAGGCTGCAAACGTTATTCTTCTCTTTTTTTCATTTTATGATTTTCTTACTCTTTACTTTTTTCTCCTCCTTTTCTGTCTTTTCAAACATTTTCTCCTTTTCTTTCCTCCTCCTCCTCTCTCTCTCTGATTGTTTGTCTCTTTCTCTTTCTCTCTCTCTCCTCGCCTGAACTTGGCTGGGCCTAATGTAAATTAGCTCCGTCTCGTGGGACCTTGAATGCATCTCGTATCCCTGCATTACATCCACCCACTCTGTCTCTCTGTCTTTCTCTTCTTTTCTCCTCTCTTCCCACCTCACTCCATTGTCTTCCGCTGTCTACATGCAGTAAAACCCTCCACTGGATGATGCGAGAAACCAACCAGCAGCTCAGCCATGTAATATAGGTCTAATGCAGATTAGAGCTGTCCCACGAGATATTGAACACATCCCAGCAGCTCCCATTGTTGCTTCTGCCCACTTCATCCTCTGTTGCTTCCATTTCTCTCGCTCGCTCTCTCTCACTCGTTTTCTCCCACTCAGTCCCTCCCCTGCTCTGAAATTCAAATCCAAAATAACCTTTAGTGTCATGACTCAAATTGAAACAATGCTCTGCGTATTTGGGCAGCTTCTCATTAAAAGTATAACCAAAATGTAACCATGTCTTCCCTCGCATATTCCCACATTTTCCTGCTCCTTTCAATCCCCCTGTTCCTGCTGTCCTTCGTTGAGTTACACGTCTCATGGTTTCACACGACATTAACATCCTTTAACCACATATTTCTTCATTAGCTTCCTCATTAACCTCGATAATCTGTAATTTTATATGAAGCTGTTGTCAAGAACTCTGAGTTGCTGATCCTAGATTTCAGATCCAGTTACCCTCAAGGGAAATAAATGCAACAGCTCAACAGTTAGTTTACATAAGATGGGCATGTGCTTCACAAAGTAACAATGTTGTTCTGATTCTGATTTTCTGCTATGTGGGGTTTGTTTCCTGGTTGTGCATTGTTTGTCCGTGCAAACTTTTGTTAAAAAAACAATTTCTGAGAGTACGTTGTTCATTTTTGTTGGCTTTTGTTGGTGTTGTTACCCAAGAAGGGAGCTAGGCTCTTCCACCATTTTCAGCCCAAAGGCTAAGCTAAGTGAACCAGGAGTTGGTTGTTGCTTCAAACTTAAAGGCAGAGTTGCTCCAGATCCACTTTTTAAGATTTTGGTTGAAGTTGTCTTTAGGTCCTGACAGACATTAATAAATCATGTGCTCTGAAAAAGGAACAAAGAAAATCCGTCATCTGTATCAGTTTGTGAAAACTTCGACCAATGTCTGCCACAAGGTACCAATCTGATGAACCAATCAGACGCCTCCCTGTCTCTCTGCTCGCTCTCTACCCCTCACGTTCACGAGCCCGCACTCAAAGCATGAGCTGAAGTCCGCTTCTGGAGCAACGGTGCTCGTGCATGTAAGTGAGGGGGCGTGGCCTTAGAGGGAGCACAGAGGGGAGGGGGTGGGTGCAGACGGAGCACTGAGGGAAAGCTACTTTCAAAATCATGCTAGTTTTAGAAAATTACCAACCCTGCCTTTAATACGGAAACGAGTTATAATGGTCTTCTCACCGTTATGTGGTGCACACAACAACGCAAGAGCCTCATTTGTCAACACAGCTGTCAATCATGACGTGATACTTGTTTTTATCGCATCAAATAACAAATTAAACTTCTCAAGAAAATCATCATAATAAATATGGTGAAAAGCATCTTTGAGAACATTGTATTTTAATTTTATAGTTTGACCCATGTCCCATCTGTTAACATGGAGGCGGAGCTTATGACCTATACTGCAGCCTGTCAGTAGGGGGAATGTTTCGGCTTCACTTTCGAGTGGCTGTTATGTTGTCCATGTTTTTTTTTTTTACAGTCGATGGTTAAAATAAATACGAGCAGTCAGCTCGGATTCTATTTGTATTTCTCTTTTGGTCAAAAGGACGATCTGCAATTCAACATGTTACCACAGGTGTCACCAATGAGCCCCGAACACAGATCAAATCGATTGCTACTTTTAAAATCATAATGGTTGTATTTATTATAATGCGTTTTATTGTACTGTGAGTAATCGGATCCATCTTCTTGATAGAAGTGTGACTCTCTAAACATCCTGCTCCGTCTTTCCCTCGCTTCTCGCTCCTCCCCGCCTCCTCCCTACTCAGATCTAATGTAAATTACGATGCTCCCTCGAGGCACTGAAGGCATCCCAGCTCTCTTGCCTTACAGCTCTACCCACTCCAGTGTTACCCTAAACCCACAGAGTGAGGTCACAGTCCTATCTGGTTACTCCTTACTGTATCCGAGCCTCCTCAGACCCCGTCCTTATGTTTCACCTGCTATCACCTGTCACATTCCTGCAGCTCAGTGGTGTCTCCAGACCGGCTTGCCATTGTTCAGGCCGAATCCCCGTGATCGTTCATAACTTCATTTGTCTTCTTCTTAGGCGCCAGTCAGCCCTGTCTCATATGAACCACACGCATATGTGTCTAACTTAGTTTGGTTCGTTTTTGAAGGAGACGGGATTCTACCTCGATGATTTTATTATATCTGATGAACAAATTATTACTTTATGTCTAAACTAGTGTTGGAGAAAGTATGCTGTACGTCATATATAGTTCCCCTTTTAGAGAAATTGTGGGATTTTTTTATCTGTCTGTCGTGTGTTTCTCATTCTGTGTATCTGTTACGCTATTTTTTTTGTTGCAATTATCATAGTTGTAATTCTATAATTCTGTCTATAATTTTATATTTATTGTTTCATTAGGGACCAGCAGCCTTTTTTTGTGCGGCCACTCTGAGCGCTTCTAGCTGGAAATCCTTTAACTTCTGAGAAATGCGCTGGTGACGGTCAACGGCGGTGAAATTCCCCGTATTATTGTCTCCTACGGATCGTGTCCCCACATCCTCCTCGCTCTGCGTCCAGTGGAAGCCCTGATAGAGACGCTGTCATTTTTATTAAAGGAAGAATGTGCGTCTTTTTGATCCAGTAGATGTCGCCCTTGAGCTCCAGCATGAAACCAAAACAAACTGCTGTTTGGCCACGCCTCCTCCATCCTGAAGCCTCCGCTCTCCTACAGAGACACACCTCCAACCCCTCTGCACTCACGTTCACATGAAGGACGCACCAAAACTTAGCACCGTTAAGCGCAAGCGGCTGACAGAATCGTCCTTTGCTCGAGCTGCAATCACCTGTGTCCTGCATTGTTCTGTTAGCATGCTAATGTTAGCGCTCTTTAGTTAGCTTGTAGCTTCACATTTCATGTAAATCGTCACAGAATGAGCGTGATCTAAAAAGCGGACTCTGTTGCTTCGTCGGCTACTTCTGGGTCTTTCTCTTTTACCTCAGGAGCCCCCCCGCCCCGCCCCGCCCCGCCCCGCCCTGCCCCCTCCCGTCTGTCAGCTGTGAGGAGCATATATGAACAGCCAGGTCAGGAGAATATCCGGAGCAGTCCTCCTGAAATTATCTAGATATTTTCAGGAATGCAACCATTTTTTAACCATATTTTCTTCCTGTGATTCAGTTTAAATATCCACTGAGATTCAGTCTTATGCACCGAACAATCTAACACATCGACATTAAAGGTAATGCTGGTTGTTTCTCAGTTTGCTGACTTTGTTCAGATTCAGAAGAAGTCTGTGATATTTCATGATATTGATGGGCTCAGTCAGGAGGATTTTCCTCTGTGCTCCGAGCAGCAGCTGGAGCGGCGTGCTGACACGACACTGACGGCGATGCAAAGAGACACATTTGGAGGAATTTCAGGGGCTGCTGGCAACTGTGAATTATCACCCCCCCGTGCGATGCTGTAGCTGCAGGATTATGCAACTGTGTGTCTCTCAACGAAAATTTCCATCGATGCCTCAGGACAGTGAGGTGAATTTTCAAAAACAGCAGAGAGAGAGCGAGAGAGAGAGAGAGAGAGAGTGGGATAGATGAGGGAGAGGGAGATGGTTCACTTTGATGTTGATGTTTCAGTTTATCTCAACTTTCCTGCCAACAAAGCACATTAGATTAAAAAGGATAAGAAGCAGAAACAGAAAGTTTTGTGTTCTCGCCTGTAGGCGCAGGACGATGTGAGTTTGTGTGTAGCGTAAGCATTATTTATTACCAAGTTATCCATTGTAATAAATAATCTTCTTTTTCCTCTCGTCTCTCCTGATTGAACTGTATCGCTGCTTATCTTTGGATATGAAACCTGAAGTGCTGGACGTGTGTGTCTGAATCGGTGCATTGTGTTCGTGTGCAGGACAGTGCATCATCTGTGTTTGTGTGCGTGCGTGCGTGTGTGTTTGTGAGTGTGTGCGTGTGCGCGCATGTGTGTGGGTGTGTGCGGGCGTCAGTGTGCAGGACAGTGCACCATCTGTGTGTTTTGGCCACAGGTCATTTGGACAGCCTCACTGCCGTAACGTTCCACACCATTTACTCAAATCAGACAACTGCTACCTTGCTGTGCGCCTGGAACACACATACACACACACACAGACACACACACACACACACACACACACACACAGGCACAGATAAATTGTGGGGCCTTGGGTTGTAAAGTTGGATTTCTAAGTACATTTTATAAAGGGATTAGCGAGCAGAGAGTTATGAAATGCTCAGAGGATCTCAAACCTACTTACTGTACGTCCACTGTCAGCACATCGAGAGACGGTACAAACAACATTAATCATCACTAAAGATCCATCAATCTCACAGACTCTTAAAACGATCGTGTCAAAACCAGTTTGACATTCATGATTCTCCCACACATCCGTCGTATTGTAAGCTAACAGTTGTAAACATTGGGCTTTACTGCAGCGTGCTACTTTAAGATTAGCTGAGACCGCATGGACTGTCCAAACCATAGACTGTAAATATCAGTGGATGAAGCCTGCGTGACGTCACCCGTCTGTTCCTGCAGGGGCGCTGGGAGTCCCATCGATGGCGGTCGCCATGCTGGAAATCCTGTCTCAGCCTAACTTTCAGTCAACCTAATGGGAGGGGGGTAGCAGAGAGAATCACTCCCATGATTCCCCGCCCGGCCTTGACGTCAGCTTTTATTTTTGCTTTGATTGAGAGCCCCTGGTGGTGGATTTTAACTAACTATCCTTTACATTTCAGACCTTAATTAACTGTTGCTGACAGCAATCAGTTTAAGTCAAAGCATCTGATTTATGGATTGTGTTCAGGACGCAGCTTTAACATCCTGACTTGATCTGCATCCAGGTTTTATATTCCCTCCATTAAAAACCACAACCATAAAATGTACAGTCACAGCATGAAAACCTTTCTTCTTCTTGTATTCCTCACGGACTTGTACGTGTTGCCTCAGGATGTTGCTTTGTGCCCATATATGGACGTGGTTATGCAGCCACACTTTAATGGGCTTATTTTTATTTCCATAATGTTTTTCTTCTGGTCGGGGACAAAGCACTTTGCCCCCTGTTGAGAGGCAGAGTGTGTGAAATGAACTTTGCTGTCTAACCCTGCTGTTCTTCTTCTTCTTCTTTCTCTCTTGTCCTGATTTCTTTCCTCCACCCCTCCCTCACCACGCCTGTCAATCACTCCGTCTGTCCTCCAACGTCCCCTCTTGCTCGACTCTTGCGGTTTATCGTGGCACGATCCAAGCAAGAAGGATTTTTTATTTATTTAGACATCACATGAAAGTGTTATCTTTCAGTATGTTGACTGATGAAGAAGGTTATCTTACATCTTCTCCTCTCTGAAAGCTAAATAAACATGGATGGCACGTTTCTCATCCTCGCTCTCTAACGACCTTTCTGCCTCGTTTGTCTCTTATAGCAGCACATGCATCAACACACAGCGACACAGGATGCCGCTGCAATTTCTGAACGTAGCCAATACATACTGTACATACATGCATCTTAAACAACACATTTATAGATGACAGGACAGACGATAGGTGTTAGCGTTAGCTTGAAGCACAGCTTGTTATTCTGATTATTATTGACAATTGCAGTATGAATGTCAGTGTTGCCTTACAGCGATGTGAGGGGAAAGGTTGTGAACATGTCATTCTCCTCGCCTGTACTAGCTTCTGTAGCTTTGTAAATGTAATCCTCTGTTCTCTCTCTCTCTCCTGCAGCATTTCTAACGTCACCCCTAAAGTGGGAGAGAAGGACACTCAGAGAGCGATCCGACAAGCCTTCAACGTGTGGCAGACCGTCACTCCGCTCTCCTTCCAGGTCAGAGAAAAACGATGTGTAAATTCTTTGTGACTCTTTTTTTATGATCCCTCCTTCAAAACAAATGGAAGTGAACATGGAAAATAAAAGCCCCGAGAAAAAGTGACAAAGCCTCTGGGAAAGTACAAAACCAAACGGATTTTATTCATTTTCGTTTTAATTTACTGTAAAGTCGTCGACAAAGGCTCGTAGATGGAGCTTTACATTAGACTGTAATAGTAACACACACTCTAATGATTAGAGTGTGTGTTACTATTTTTAAGGGGACATATTCTGAAGAATCCTCTTCTACAGTGTTTCTGAACATATATCTGGGTAACCTGAGAGTCTACTGACCCACAACATGTGAAATAAACCCATCCAGTTCTTTGTTTTTGGTCTGCATAAGTCTTACAACACAGAGAAAAATGCTCCGTTTCAAATGTGCTCTCCTTGTGATGTCACAGTGGGATTCTGGTAAAAAAAAAAAAACCTCCCCTCCCCTGGTATCTCCACCCATGGACTCCACCCCCAGCCTAGAACAAAACTTTTGGGCAGGTCCACCATTTTTATTCTCACTACAGAGGAGTGATGTCTACCTGGAAAACTTGGGGGGGGGGGGGTCATTTCATTTAAAGAGACACACACACGAAAACGGAGCGTTCTGAGAGAGCTGGTTTATACAGGGTCACAAACCTCCTCTGGTGCTTGATTCATGTTATATTTTGACCAAAGCACAGCACAGATGTTTCATTTAGACCACAGGGGGACTGTTTGAAAAGGTGGAGAAGGAATATGATATGTCCTTTTAACAGTGTTTTGATATGCTGGGTTTATGTCTTAATCACCTCCAGGGTTAGTGGGGATCCCCGTTCTCTGGCACCTCTTTTTAGTAAATTTGAGATCCCCTACCCTGAATCTTAAACCCCCTACAAAGCCT